GGGGTACCGCGGGCGGGGGTATGACGTCACGGGGAGTGTGACGTCACCGCGGAGGGGTTATTAGCGGTTGGTAATTGGGGGGGGGGGCAAACCAATTTTACCGACGATCGGTAATTTTTACCGATATTATAACATTTAATTACATAATTTTTACCAACACATAATTACACAATACCGATAATACTGACGATCGGTAATTTATTACGATATTATATATCAACATTTAATTACTTAATTTTTACAAACATATATTTACATAATTTTTACCAGCATATTTACATAATAACAACGATTGGTAATTTATTACCGATATTATATATCAACATTTAATTACTTAATTTTTACAAACATATATTTACATAATTTTTACCAGCATATTTACATAATAACAACGATTGGTAATTTATTACCGATATTATATATCAACATTTAATTACTTAATTTTTACAAACATATATTTACATAATTTTTACCAGCATATTTACATAATAACAACGATTGGTAATTTATTACCGATATTATATATCAACATTTAATTACTTAATTTTTACAAACATATATTTACATAATTTTTACCAGCATATTTACATAATAACAACGATTGGTAATTTATTACCGATATTATATATCAACATTTAATTACTTAATTTTTACAAACATATATTTACATAATTTTTACCAGCATATTTACATAATAACAACGATTGGTAATTTATTACCGATATTATATATCAACATTTAATTACTTAATTTTTACAAACATATATTTACATAATTTTTACCAGCATATTTACATAATAACAACGATTGGTAATTTATTACCGATATTATATATCAACATTTAATTACTTAATTTTTACCAATATATATATTTATATAATTTTTACTGCCATATTTACATAATACCGATGATCGGTAATTACCGATATTTTATAGTTTTTCTATCTGCATTCGATAGATCATTTTACCGATATACCGTGGCGGATTTTCGACGGTTTCCGCGGCGGTTTTGCTGCAGTCCGCACCGCCTGCGCCGCCCGCGCCGTCCACGCCGCTCGCGTATCTCGCAGCGTGATTTTATTTTAGTCACAGCTACAAACTCTAAGATTTTGCAAACGTATGCATCCGACAATTAGATGCGCAAGAAAAAGAATGTGACACATAATATTCTTATTACTAATGAGCGCATACACTTGTCCCCGCGACAAGATTTTGCAAGCGTTTGCGTGTTATGTATCATGGATAATATGTTATATAAAGAACGGTAAAAAACGGAAAAGAAACGGTAATGAAACGATAACGGCTACCAAAAATCGTAAAAACGATTATCGAAATGGTGTATTCAAGTAGGT